AATTGCAGTCTCGGAGCAGATTACATTGGCTGAACTGGGGATAGACAGAAGAAAAAGAATTAAGGGATCTGTATTAGGTTTACTCCAGGCAGTCGAAGGTATGTTTAACCCAGAGGGTCGCAAAAAGTAAAATATTATGATTCAAGCAAAAAAGCGAGTTTCAGTGTGATCAGAATGATGATACTACATTAATTGTCTAGTACTAATTGTTAATTTGCTTCACAACTGAACCTTGTGATAAAAAACTATATGACTTGTCAAATGTCATACTATCGTGTTATATTATATGGAATTCAAATTATTCTATTGATCTGTTTAGGTTAAAAAGATGAAGACTGTGCAGTTTTTCACACTTTGTAATAAAAATATATATTTTCATTCAAATCGGTCACACTGTCGCCTCGCCTCCTTGCTTAATTAGTCGTCGTGAACATGACATTATATTACGATGTTACAGCTCTATATAATGAAAAACAATTTGTTTTTAAAGATCAATCCCATCATTTTGGTTTGGAGCAGAGATGTCATTTAGTAGCTTTGTTCGTAACTATAGAAAATCCAAGCAGACACATATTTTATAGCCATTCCTCCACTTTCAAAGGAAACCATGGCTGTCGTTTTAAATATGATAAATCTGCCATCGAGAGTAAGGAAATTGAGTACAAAATGTGGGATGATGGATACTACTATGAAGTATTACCTGACCATCATACACAAGGGCGCAAACTCACCCCGAGACTGAAGCCCGGACATAAGATTGTCTGCGCAATTAGCTAAAGAGACCTTGCAGATATACACATTTCTTAAAATTTCTTTAATATGCTATATACAATTTACATAATAAATTATCTTGGAACCATTTAAAATAAGTGTTATTTTTGTTTTATTCGAGTATCAGAGTACAGTTTAAGAGACTATGCATCACCATTTATTGCGATAGTAGTCAGTAACAACTTCACCATAAGGTGAAAACATACGTTAAACGTCTCAAACCCAATTGTGTAACTCTAGTTGTGAAATAATTTCAAATAATTTATTATCCTACTAAGTATAATGTACTGTCATACTTACCTAGTAAAGAATACTTTAAATTAAGTTTTCAAAAAACATTTGAATTATTTATAATATTTGTTAGACATTGATCGTGGCACAATTTTCAACTTATTTTTAATTATTTATTTATTTAAACTAAAATACATGCAATTAATATTTTTTTTTTAACTGAAATGATTGATCAACAAAAACAAGTTTAATACTATACAACGTTCCTTGAAGAAGTTATGAAAAAATCAAATACTTTTTCAAATCCCTAATCGAATTATTCCTAGTATAGGTACATGATAATACTTGTATAGTATACCTATAGTACATGATAACTTCACAACTTAAATAAAAAAAGGAATTATTTTTAGTTAAAGAGGTCATACTGTCACTCGCCTTGTTGATTACTCCGTTGCTGAGTACAAGGACTTATAACATTAGTTTATAAATTATGGTAGTAGTAGTTATTTAAACAGTATAAAAAAAAACGTATAGTGAATATCTTACTCAAGTTTGTTAGTAAAACTTAGCGAAAAAGAGTATAAGCATTTTTTTTTACATCGTTTAGCTTTGTAGAAACCTGAGTTATTCAATGACTCCTTTTACCTATTTATCATCTGTTTTATATCCACCTCAACTACTAAAGATCATAGGCCAATAACCTAGTTTTTGAAGCCTGATAAATTCAATATCTTATACCTGCAAGCTTTAATAGCGTGCCTATTAATGATTCAGAGCTAGCATATCCAAAATTGGCATGAAAAACGAGTTTAGAAATTGGATAATTGCAAGTCACATTATTACAGAATATTATACAGATGTATTTTTTTTTGTCTCAAGTCATGGTAACTTTTTTTCCATTAGACCGATTCGCTACTCAAGTAGCATCTCATAGATCGAAAATCATAAGTGATTGATACATCGCGTCAGATCCAGAATATTGGTTAGGCATGCTTCTATACTCACATCGCCTCGAATTCAAATTTCGGCCAACGATGGTACTATCAAGCAGGCAAATTTAAACGTTCAAAAACATTAATAATAAAACGAGATATTATGACCAAAAAACGACTTATTTAAAATTAAAAAAAATTTTCGACTGTTAAAATTGTATTTGTAAAACACCTTGAAAAATATTCGATGACAACAGTTGTTTGTCTTATGATTACACATGATCAAACGATACGAAATGTACCTTCGGTTTTTGTACAGATAATTTAACAACAATTAAAAATTATTCGAAAAAAGAAAAACCAGAAGAAATTGAAAACTATTTCTGGGAGTTATTATCAACAATAGTAATGATAATATCAATAAATTTATACATGAACATGTTTTATCTATAAAAAATAAATTTGGTATTATTTAGTTGTAACAGCTTGTTAGAAAATCCCCGTTAATTTCTTAAACGACTTTTGTAAATAAAAAAACTCTCTGGTTAATGGTTAAAAATTAAATTTATCTATTACATATGTTTCCAAATTTTATTTTAAAAATTGAAATTGTGTAAAATGTTCAAACGTGTTTTATGCGTACATTTTTTTTTTTTACAATTATGACTTTTATTGAAAAACATACAATCTGTAAATTATATTTTACAATGAGTATTTTTATAAACTATTTACAATAAACTATACACATGATAAACATGAGGAGGAAACCCCACATTAGGGGCACCTCAAATTTATGCGTACTAGGAATAAGATTCAAATGTGTTTTCAGATTACTCATCGGATCACTAGTTCAGCCTGTGCGATGGACAAAAAATGTACTATTTTATCAACTAAAATGGTTTTTGTTCACGGTAAATTAATTGTCCTGGTCGAAATTCATTAAAACCACTTTTTTCTTGACTATTACTTATAGAAACCTTCTTAAAAATGGTTACTCTAGGTGATATTTTATTTTATTTTGGTAATATTCCTTTGTGTATACTGTGTGTATTGTTTTGTGCATAACATTTTATAAAACATTATCGTACACGATTGCTTTAGCACATTTTAAACTAAGCGTTAAGCTAATATGAAAAAATACAAAATGTGCTTTTATGATTCACGCCTAAAATATTATAAAATGACAGTATAGTGGGGTCGGGGAATAATGGGAAAGGAAATCTCACAGGTAGTGTACTTTATGTAGGTACTGTACCTAACTAAAAATGATGAAATAACTTTAAAACAAAAGGTTTTGAATCTGTAGACAGGAAACTGACAGTGGTGCAATTAGCGGGGGTGTAAGCAATTATTTTTTACTGTTTAGTACAGGCACCACAATTTGTATTTCACCTATCTGCTTTACTTTTTTAAATCACTTATTTTGTTAAGCATAATTTGCTGAAAATTTTGACTGATCGATTACCAGTTTTGGATAGTTACTTTATATGTTTTTTAAGCTTCGGATTTAAGACGGGTGGTGGAGCAATGCTCCAACGTTGTTGACCAAAAACCATTATGTTTATTGCCTTATTCAAACGCCTTCAATTTGTACATTAGGATTTAATATTATTGTATTAAATTATCCCAATTTAAATATTTATTTGTATAGAAACTACAATTTTTTTAACTGCGACAAATTAAAGAATGAAGACGAGTTAAATTAATAAATAAACAGGTCAGAAAATAAGAACACAATAATAAAATATGTGTTAACTAGATTACAGGACATTCGGGAAAAAAGGTCAGGTCCAATAGACATGTTTAATGCATATTGGTTAGGCATACTTTTATTCACACATTGCCTTAAACTCAAATTTTGACGACCCTCCACCTCACAGGCTTTAGAGCTGGAAATTAGCCTGAAAGAATCATAAAGAAATGAAGAACTCCTTCTGGGAGTTTTTTTATTAAAAATTGTCTGGTTAATCGTTAAATATTAAATGTAATTATAATAAGTGTTTGTTTTATTGTATGTTTAAATAAGGACAATTGAATAGAATATTATTGTACCTATCTTAAATGTATAAAACAGCTATTCGCTATAATTATTGGAACGTCGGTGTTCTACGGTCATGCCAGACATTAGTTCAAACATTTGAATAGTTGCCCAAACAAACGACCAAACCAAAAACGTTTTATAGCATCTGTCGTGTTGGAAAAATTGTTTTCAGTAAAAAACAATAACAAAACTATAAACAAATATTGATATAACACTTTATAAAATGAACCGTTAGCATTTGTGTAAACGGAAGATTTTCCTTAAGTTGCAATAGTCTAAATATCTGTTTGAAACCTGCAAATATGAGTCGTTCTTATCTATTCAATGTGTAAATTCGCTTTGAATATATACATAATAATATTTACTGTATTTTATATACTATGTGTATTATTTTGTGCGTAACATTTTATAAAACATACTATCGTAAACAATTGTTTGAACATAATATACATATAGATACTAGATAGATAAGTATTAACAAAGACTTTAGTCTATTTAAACCTAAATAATAGAATCTGTAAATATTATTTTATAATAATTAATATAACCAATAGAGAAACGACCATAAATATCTTGTGTGGAGTAATAACCTACTAACGATACTCCACGTTTCGTGGAACAATTATAATTACAGTATACTGCAATTCGTCTGTAATTGTTTTAAATTCAGTAAAAATACTTCCAAACGGGTATTGTTTACTTCATTCAAACAATGATATTTTGTAATTTTTTATTCAAGATGTTCAAACTTGTTGTGTATAATCAAAATAAAATTTGGTTCCAATAACAAAATGTGTTCAAACAATAGTAGTAAATTCGCATGACGCATTTTCAATAAAACATATTTACGTTTGCACAATATGTGGTATAAAACAAAACATTTGTTCTGCTGCAAACCGTTCAAACATTTCATAAATTCCATAGTTTACCATATTTCGATTTTACATTATAAGGTTTAAAATTTAATATAAGTACAATGAAATGACAGAAAGACATCTACAACCGATAAGTTATATTTTCTTCAGGAAAATATGAAACACTTTTGTGTGTTGATGACATTAGTCCTTGGACATGTTTTGGCATTATCAACAGGTAAGTATTACGGTTTTCTGAAGTACCGGAGGTTTAAATTAAACTAGTGACGGGAATCTAAAAATCCGGAATTAAAAAAAAAAATTAGGTCAACTTAAAAAATTATATAATCATTAAATACTATTACAATATAAAGCTGTGTACTTAAGTAAAATATACTGATGGAAATAAATAAAAAAACGCTTAATTTTGACTAAAGTTGTTTTCGGATTGTAAATAACGAATTTTATGATTTCAACAAATCGAAATTCAGAAAGAAAATTTTCTTATTTTTGTTGTGTTTTATTTTTATATTCTTATTGCAAATATTTAATATTGGTAAACAGATTTATATTTTATAATATTCAATATTTTTTTAATAGTTAAAAATCCAAAATTCTGGATTCCCATCAGTAGTTTAAATTAACTTTTTTAATTTTCTTTTTAGATTCCTTTAAACAGCACGTAAACCGTACAAGTCAGTATATCCAATAATTATTTGCCTGTAAAATAGATTTACAATATGTCAACTAAGTTTTACCTATTTTTTCACCTTTGGTTTGCTTTTTAATCATAGACTGTATGCTCAAACAATTAAACTCAGGTAAAATATTTAATATACATTTTTTACGTTTTCTCTGACAATTGAATATTGATTTACAAAAATCAGTGGATTGAAAATTCTACTGTGTAAAATGTTTCAAAAGTTGTCTCTGCTTTTGAATTCAATAGAGGTTGATTTTTTTGCTCATTTCACCTTTGCTCGTAGTTTTTAGATTTAAAAAGTAATTTAAGGTACATTTTTACAATCGCGTCGATACAACCATCAGAAAATTATTTTACAACGTACCTAATAAAAGTGCTAGAACTTTTCTAAATAAATATACACAATTTAAAAACATGTGTCTTTCTAGATCAATTGGCCAATATAATCACATATTACATAATGGATCCTATGGATATTGGTAAGCATATTAATTCTTATAATAATAAATTAATGTAGGTAACTAAATTAATAATTTTTTTTTAAAAACTTTTTTTAGTTTCCAAACCGCACTTCCCCTCCTATCATAACTTTTAAACTCTTATAACTTTAAAAATAGTTATCCAAAGCTGGTTATTAACCAGTTAACCCTTTCAGACCCGAATTATGATCCCGTGAAAAAAAAAAATTTTTGTCATGGATTCATTTAAATATCATTCAAACTAAAAAATTAAAAAAAAATTTTCTTTTTTTGTCGACTCAGTACTGAGATCCTGAGACATGCCATTGTAATGGCAAATGGGCGTTAAAGGTTGTCAATTCGTTATGCCATTAGGATGACAAACAGGCACCAACTGGTTGAGGTACAAAACAATAATAAACCAAGTTTTTTCAGTTCTATTTTTTTTTTATAAATCTTTACTGTTGACTAACACTTAAAATTATTTGTAACAAATAAAATTAACAATATACCTAGCTATAAAACAATTTTATTTATCATATACATATATTCTTTAGGTATACAAACAAAATTAACATTACATTTATAAAAAAACAATATATAGAGTAAAATGTCCTTTGGATAAAAACTTTAACAGAAAGAATAAAATATTCCTGATTTGGTGACTAACAGTGAAAATCATAAAAACAATTTCTATCTTTAGTCAAACATAAATGGAGGTTATATTTTTTACACATAATATGTGTTCTCATTTTACACCCTTCATGTTTGCATAATGTTGCATCTTTTCGATTATCAATAAAAGCAAAGTGATTAATTTTATCTTTAATAATTTCTAATGAGGGATTTTTTGAATCTATTTTGCGGTTTTTCTTTGGGAGTTTAGGAACATCCGGAAAAATGCGGTTTTTATTATCTCTGTTGTTTGATAACAAAAATCGCTTACCAAAGTAAAATTAGTTGATTAGCAACACTTGACGCCCAATTGCCATTGTAATGACATACTATTGGAGGTACAATAAAATGATAACGGTAAAAGATAATCTCGATATTAAATCATAATATGCATACAATATAAATTGAGAAGCAAAAAAAAAAATATGGGATTTTTAGTGTTTATTTTTTTGTTGAAAATTGAAGATAATGTGAAAAAAAAAAATATTTTTTAGCCAACTTTTTTTTTTTTTGATAACCTTTCATTATCTTTTCATATTTCGTCCATATTGCATTCTTATCATTTTTAACGTATTCTACACATGTTTTTACGTGTATATATATGTATTACACAAAGATATTATTTGAATTGAATTTTATAACGGCTTTTATTTTGTTGTGCCATTATAATGGCACGCGGGTCTGAAAGGGTTAAAGTTGTTTGTACATAATTATCAATTTAAAAAGTTTATGAAATGTATGCGTTACCATTTAGGTTTTAAAAGTGACTATCATAAAAACAAAGTTGGGAGGAGGGTAAAAACAAAAAAAAATATAATAAAATATTGAGATAATATTGTAAAAAAACACTGCGTAAAGAAAAAATATATTTCTTATTAAACTCGGTGTGATATTGAGTGGTTAACGATAAGCTGATCATGGCAGCCGACGTGTCAATTTTTCCATTATATTGATTTGTGTAAAAATTATTTTTGAAACATAAACCTGAAAATTCTTAGTTGTAAATTTAGCAGACACGTCGTTTAATAGCATTACTCATTATTCAAGACATTAAATGATGCTATTCATATTTACTCAATGACTTATTATGAACAGCCAATCTCGTTTAACGATAAATTTTTATTAATTTCAGAGGCGGTGACTTCGCTTTTGGCCGCGCCAAGTATTAAGACTCAGACATTATAAACTATATATATATTTTTAATTTATTTGTAACGAATAAGACCTATTTTTACTTTTAATAATTATATACGTTGATATTTCAGCGTCCATTTTCAATGATGGAGGTTGGAATTATCCAGCTGGTAAATATTTAATGTATAGTCATGAAGTCCTTATACGATTTGCATGTGGTCCGTTTTTAAGGAATTTTGTCTAAAATCTTAAATCCGATTCCTACATAAACTAGTAAAGTTGTCAAAGAACTTGCATAGCATTAGAGAATTTATATATAAGTTAACTAGTCAATGTTATGGTGGGGGATTTTTAAAGAGTAAACCTTCAGTGAGGTTGTTTACGGTTATTAAAATAATTGTAATGATACAATTTTCAAATACTTTGATACGAGTTATAGAGTGTGAATTAAAATTTGTGTTATTACATTTGTATTTGTATGTGAATATTATAATATGAAGTACAGATATTTATAAATTATTATTAAATTAAGTTTATGGTATTAAATATTTATGTAATCATAACAGCAATGTTAATAATACAAACAATTTTTAAAATTGTTTATGTTTTAAACTTTAGGTCTGAGAGATAACGAGGAAAATATAGTGGTCCGTATGAATTATTATGGTAAAAATGTGTTTCGAATAAATTATAAAAGCAACAAACGTTAGATTGGTAAAAAACCAGCTAGGTCCTCTGCAATTGTTTAGAATTATACACTCTGAGAATACTCCGTCACCCATGATCCTCCCACTCAATTCGAACACTGATTTATAATTGTTAATTTTTATTAGTGTGTTTCTTATTTTAGGGAAAGAACCTGGTGAACTGGACACAAGTAATATATACAAGTTAACTCAGTTAAAAAATCACTTATATTTTGCCCGAATTTGGATGCAAAGGGGAGTAATATTTTCTATTTTCGTCTACAGCAATGATTCTGTGTACGATTTATCATTTATATAGTGAATTAAGCAACATATTAGAAATTAAAATATCTTCTTATCCTCCATCGAAACTCGAACAGTCAAAAAATAAAGTTAAACATTTCCGAATGTCTCATTATTATTTACATGTTATTATGTTTTGTAATTTCAGACGTGGAGCAGTTAAAATTGTATGAAATGGGAATAGAAAGAAGAAATAGACTTAAGGAATCTGTATTACGTTTACTCCAGTCAGTCGAAGGTATGTTTAACCCAGAGGGTCGCAAAAAGTAAAATATTATGATTCAAGCAAAAAAGAGTGGCCAAACTGTCGCCTCGACTTTTTGCTTAATTAGTCGTTGAGAACTTGATAATATATTACTATTTTACAGCTCTTTATATTTTTAAAAATTATGTTTTCAAAGGTTATATTCAAACCGCGGCTTTTAATGTACAGCAGAGATGTCGTTTAGTAGCGTTGTACGTAAATGTAGAACAACCAGACAAACACATATTTTATAGCAGTGCCTTCGACTTCATCGGTAACGAGAATAATTGTCGTTTGAAATATAATAAATCTGACGAACGGGAACTCGTGTACAGAATGTGGGATGATGGATACTACTATCTAGTATATGACATAAATGAAAGAGGCACCAAACTCACCCCGATACTGGAACAAGTACAACCGTGTTGTTGTACAATTTGTTAAAGAGACCTTGAATAAATACACATTTCTTAAAACTTCTTTAATATGCTTTATACATTTGACATAATATACTATCTTGGAATCATTTAAAATAAGTTCTATTTATTTTTGTTTGTTTTTTCTAGTATCAGAGTGCAGTTAAAGAGCCCTTACACTACCATTTATTACGATGGTAGTTAGTACCAAATTCACATATAAGTGGAGAACATACGTTCAACGTGTCAAACCCATTTGTGTAACTCTAGTTGTGAAATCTCCCTACTAAGTATAATGTAATGTCATACTAAACCATTAAAAAATACTTTGATTTAAGTTTTGAATAAGCATTGGACAAATTGTTGGCGATAAAAAACAATAATAAAACTATACTAAAATGTTGGAAAAACACGTTGCAAAACGTAATAAAATGTATCGTTAGCATTTGTGTAAACGGAAGATTTGAACTTAAGTTGCAATAATCCAAATGTCTGTTTTAAACGATTGTTTGAACAGCAATGGCCTGTGCATCATAAAAAAAGAACCGACTAAAAAATACTGAATATTTTACTTAAAAGTGTACAAACATTTTAAACTAAGCGTTAAGCTATTTTGAAAAAAATAAAATGTGTTTTTATGATTCACGTTTAGAATATGATAAAGAGACTGTACAGTGGGGTCGTGGTAAAGTGGGGAAGGAGAGCTCACAGGTCTTCAAGTACCGTAACTAAAAATGTTTACATTCATATATATAAAACCCCGTATATGAATAAAAGCACGAGTCTTGTCGGCGACAGCGATAAGACACCGTAATTGTTTACCGGAGAGATCTGTTATTTCAACCTGCTGATATAGTCAAAACAAAAATCCAAATATACCATTGAAAATGGTATAATAACTATTGTAAATTAGGTTTTTTTTTTTTTTTATGTAAATATAATTTATACAGTAAGTTGATGTATTCATTTTTTTTTTATATTGATAAATATAAATACAAATTTATGTAGTATTTTATTTACTTAAACAATGAAGTCAAAGTAAATTGTTATACATTCGTTTATATATATATATATATATATACCTAAAAAACTTATATCGTTCTATTTAAATAAAATCCTATTTATTATTTACTAGTTTTATCTTAAGATAAAGCTCCCCCCCGTAAATGAGTGCTAGATACGGCCATGTCCATAACCTAATATATTATCTTGGAATAATTTAAAATAAGTTGTATTTCTTTTTGTTTCTTTTTTGAGTACCAGAGTACAGTTAAAGAGACACTACACACTCCAATATTTATTGCGATGGTAGTCAGTACAAACTTCGCCATAAGGTGTGTACTCTAATTGTGAAATCACTCTACTAAGTATAACGTAATGTCATACTAAACTCAAATAATTATTCAACACCTCAATCGGAGAAATTCTTAGGGAAAGTACGTTTGAAGTAGGTGTAGAGGCTCTTTAATATTAATTTGAACTACTTACCTCTGAAATCTTCGATGACGATTGATGTCTGGTTGTATCAATACACAATTTTTTTTTTAAATGAAAATGACATAATACTGTATAGCTATAATACAGTTTAGAGGTGGCAGCATATAATCTACTAGTTCATAAGCAACGTTTGCTTCCGTCAAAACAATCGTTATCGGTTCTTCTATTTATTAAGAACAGCGACCACTTCTTGGTAATATTAAATATAGGCTTAACGTAAAAATGTGTGCTCCGTGTCAGATCATAATGTTTTTGATGGCCAACAAACATCAATATGTACATTTTAAATTATAATTAATAAGGAATAACCATTTTTATTGGACCTATAAATTCATTAAGTGGGTATTTTTCCATATAGTCCAATGGAAAAACACATCTAACCTACATAGTACACAATTGGCGAAATTCAATTGTCATAAATCGTCGTTTTATTTTATTTTCAACGCATAACAATATAATATATTGTAGACATAACTATTAAAATATAGTTTAAATATCACTGTATCAATTGGTTTTCAATACTTGATATTTTTCACCGTTTTATGTTCATGTTTTCAAACATATCATTTATCAAAGTTAAAAATTTAAATATGTAATAACTATAAATGTTTACTTTAGGACAATTTAATAGAATAATATCGTATCTTAAATCTTAATGTACCTACAATACAGTTATTCGCTACTAAATATGGGAATATCAGTGTTCTACTGCCATGCAACAACACATTAAGTGCAAATATTTGAATAGGTACCACACATAAGCTACACAAACAACAAAACGAAATACATTACACAGTAGCCGCCGTAATGGCAAACTTGTTTTTCGATAAAAAAAACTATTTTACAACTGATCAATAATTTTGAAAAACAACTTTATATAATTAAAATACAATGTTTTCTTTATAAGCAGTTGACTCAATTATAAGTGATACCCTTGTTTTAATGTCTAAAAGCGAGAAAGCTCTGTTGATTCGTTAACTCCCATAACGAAATTCATCATCTACTTATTTTATATCTATGCAACTACTAAAGAGCCTATTCTCTTGATAAATTAAATGACAGGTTTAGATTCGTACAGTCGTATTACTATAATTATAACTTCTTGCTTATATCTGCAAGCATTAATCTCAAAGACGCAAGTCAAAACGATTGAATTGATCGAAAAGTGTATTTTACATGCTGGGTTAAAACGAACTATAATGCTTAATTATGATCCAGAACTAGCATATCCAAAGTTTGCAAGAAAAATTGCTTCAAAACTTGATAATTGCATGTAAAGAGTAACAGATGAGTATAATGATACAATGAACTCTAGTAAATTTGCCTTAGCGTCCTTATAAAATATGTTGATAGCGTTGTTAATAGTGACACCCTAGTTTATGTGTTGGACCTTTTTTTTTTTGGATTAAACCCCACTTGAGTAAAAGATGTCAATTTGTCTATTCTGGAAACTTCGGTCTTCGGAATATATAATTACTTTACAAAACCGACAAAATTTTACAAAATCTATAGTTTTAAGAGTACTGGACTTAGTTGTAATTGTTTTGAATTCAATAAAAATACTTCCAAACGAGTTTCGTTCACTCTGACTTCATTTAAACAGTAATATGTTGTAATTTTAACGGACTCTAGTCAATATTTTAAAACTTGTTGGGTATAATCATAACAAAATTTGTTTCCAAAAACAAAATCTTTTCAACAAATATTGTAAATTCGAACAATCTATTTTCAATAAAGATGTTTAAGTGTGTACAACATATGGTATTTAAAAAAATAAACATTTTTACTACGAGCCGTTAAAATATTATGTTACAACATTGTTGGCCAAAAACTATTATGTTAGTTGACTTATTCAAACGCCTTCAATTTTTACATTAGGATATATTATTGTATTAAGTTATCCCAATTTAAATATTTATTTGTATAGAAACTATAATTTTTTAAACAGCGACAAATTAAAGAATGAAGACGAGTTAAATTATTAAATTAAGAGATCGGAAAATATGCACACAATAATAAGACACGTGTTAACTGGAATACAAGACATTCGTAGATGAAAAAACATCTGTTTTTGTATTATTATTGGATTCTATAAAAAATATGGTTCGCTATAATATTTGTAACAACATGGTACTATAAAGCAGCAAATTCAAACGTTCAAAAACATTAATAATAATGTTTACATGTTCGAACGATACGAAAAGTATCTTCAGTTTTATATGCAACACAGATAACTTAAATAGATTTAAAAATGTTTTAAATAAGAAAAATCAATCCCGAACTTGGCTAATTGCATGCAATTTTATCAAAAGTAACAGTTGAGTAAAAAGGCACAATGAGCTCTAGTAAATGTACCACAGCGTCCTAATACAATTATGTTATTCCATTTTTCGCAATTTTTTGTTTCGATGTGATAGATTTAGAATACATATTTTTAAAAAGTTTGACCATTTATGAATTGATAACTGAAGGTGTTGATATTACAAAGATCTTTATTTTTGTCCAAAGTCATAGTTACTTTTTTGTTTTAGACCGATTTACTCAACAAGCACCTCATAGACCGAAAATCGTAAGTGATTGGTATTTTGTGAGAAACGGTCGGATCTAGTAGACATTTATGTAGAATATTGGTTAGGCATACATAATTATATTTTCTTGCTTATATCTGCAAGCTTTAATCACAAAGTCACAAGTCAATAGGATTGAATTGATCAAAAAGTGTATTTGACCTTCTAGATGAAAATTAACTAGTACGCCTATTTATGATTCAGAACTACCGTATCCAATGTTTGCATTTAAAATTAATTCAAGACCTGGTAATAGCGTGTGAAGAGCAACAGATGAGTATAGGGCTACAACAAGCTCTAGTAAATTTACTAGATTAGTAATACTGTTTAGAGGTTGAAAGGATTCTATACACACATTGCATCACAATTCAAATGTTGTCGAAAACCCGCCTCACGGGCTTTAGAGCTGGAAATTAGCCTGAAGATAGGTCTAACATAAACTAATAACATGTGTAAAAAAAATATATTTAAAATTTGTTTTGTAATGAAAAATCCTAAACATTGACTTAAAAGCTATAAACGTGAACTATTACATCTTCTGTATATTTTTACATTAGGATGGAATATTATTGTATTTATTTATCTTAATAAAAACATTTTTAATTTATACTAAATATTAAATTTAATTTGATTGAACAGAAAGTACTATTTTTTCTACTGCGAAAAATTAAAGAATGAAGGCCAATTAAATTAATCAATTAAGAGTTCAGAAAATATTAACACAATAATAAAATATGTGTGAACTAGATTACAAGACATTCGGGAAAACAGGTCAGGTCCAATAGAAATTTTTAATGCATATTGGTTAGGCATACTTTTATTCACACATTGCCTTAAACTCAAATTTTGACAACCCTCCACCTCACGGGCTTTAGAGCTGGAAATTAGCCTGAAAGATTCATAAAAAAATGAAGAACTCCTTCTGGGAGTTTTTTAATTAAAAATTCTCTGGTTAATCGTTAACAATTAAATGTAATTATAATAAGTGTTTGTTAAATTATATGTTTAAATAAGGACAATTGAATAGAATATTATTGTACCTATCTTAAATGTATAAAACAGCTATTCGCTATAATTATTGGAACGTCGGGGTTCTACGGTCATGCCAGACATTAGTTCAAACATTTGAATAGTTGCCCAAACAAACGACCAAACCAAAAACGTTTCATAGCATCTGTCGTATTTGAAAAATTGTTTTCAGTAAAAAACAATAACAAAACTTTAAAAAAATATTGATATATCACTTTATAAAATGAATCGTTAAGCATTTGTGTAAACGGAAGATTTTCCTTAAGTTGCAATAGTCTAAATATCTGTTTGAAACCTGCAAATATGTGTCGTTCTTATCCATTAAATGTGTAAATTTGCTTTGAATATATACATAATAATATTTACTGTATTTTATATACTAATATATACTTATATATCGTAAACGATTGTTTGAACATCTATGACCTATGCGTCATGTATAAAAATTTAAAACTAAGCGTTAAGCAAAAATGAAAAAAAAAAACAAAATTTGTTTTTATGATTTACGTCTAGGGCATGCTAAAAAGACAGTACAGTGGGGTGGGGGATTAGTGGGGAAGGAGATCTCACAAGTAGTACTTCAAGTACCGAAACTAAAAATTATAAAATAATTTTAAAACAAACGTTTCGATGCGAATCTGTAGACAGTCCACTGACAGTAGTGTAATTAGCGAGGGAGTAAGGAAAGATGTTCAAACTTGCTGTATATAATCAAAATAAAATGTGGTTCCAATAACAAAATGTGTTCAAACAATCGTATCAAATTCGAATGACGCATTTTCAATAAAACATATTTACGTTTGCACAATATGTGGTATTAAACAAAACATTTGGTCTGCCGCAAACCGTTCAAACATTTCATAATTTGCATAGTTTACCATATTTCGATTTTACATTATAACGATTAAAATTTAATATAAGTACCACGAAATGACCGAAAGACATCCACAACCGATAAGTTAGAACCTTGTATAACAACCTATTCAAATTGGTTTGATTTCGCAAGAGTAAAATCATTTTCAGTAAGTTGGTATTTAATTTACTTATAGTTTATGTTGTTCTTAAACAGTTGCTTCGCGAAAAAAAAATTAGTTGTCAAATAAATAAATAATCCATTTGAAACTGTAGATACATTTATTATATTTTCTTCAGGAAAATATGAAACACTTTTGTGTGTTGATGACATTAGTCCTTGGACATGTTTTGGCAGTTACAGAAAGTAAGTATCGTGGTTTTCTGAAGTACTTGAGGTTTAAATTAGTGACGGTCATCCAAACATCTGGATTAAAAAAAAACAAGATCTTTAAGCCAATTAAAAAAAACCTTACAACTATTAAATACAATTACACTATAAAGTTGTGTGCCCAAGTAAAATGTACTAATAGAAATTAATAAAAAAAAAAACGCTTGATTTTGACTATAATTTTCTTTCTGATTTTAGTTTCTGAATTTTCAAATTTCGACAAATCCGAAATCCAAAACCAAAATATTATCTAATTGTTGTTGTGGTTTATTTTCATCGCAATTATTTAACATAGGTACATTCATTTATATTGTCTTGATATTTAATGGTTTTTTAATACTTTTTAAGTGGCTTAAACATCATGTTTTAGTTTTTGGATTTTTTAATTCCCATCACCAGTTTAAATTAACTTTAAATAATTTCTTTTTTTTTTAAGTTGTCTATAAGATGCATGTATACAAAACAAGTCAGTATATCCAATAATTATTTATCCATGAAATATATTTACAGGTGTCAAATATATTTTACTTTTATTCACATATTCTGTTTACTCTTTTTAATTACAGACTATATGCTTGGTGAAATACGACAAGGTAAAATATTAAATAAATTGAAAAATCATTTATTTTCTACGTTTTTTCTGATGAATGAATTTTGATTTTACAATAATTAATGATATGCAAATTCTACTGTGTAATAAGTTTCAAAAATGTTTACTGCTTTTGAACCCAGAAAGGATGGATTTTTTTCTTTATATCATCTTTGATTGTAGTTTTTTGACTTAAAATATAATTTAAGGTACAATTTAAAGTGCATGAATATAAATTCAACTATTGTTAATCGATACATCGATATATTAAACTACAACTTTCCCAACCTGTGCTGGGTTTTTTTAAAACTATATTTACATCGTTATATCAATATACACCATTAAGAAACATGTGTTTTTCTAGGTCAGGTGGACGAACTAGTCCAGAGTTATGTCTGCTCAGGCGTTGAGATTTGTAAGAATATTAATTATTTTTCAATATTTATTATAAATTCTAATAACTTTTCCACATTAGGAGATTAGGGAACTTGCTATTTCCTAAACTATATCAGGTCGTTTTAACAGTCTTCCTAAGAGTTCTGAGGAAATGATTTGTGATGTTACAGTTTTATATATTTTTACACTATGGCTTGACTTTGTCGACACCTGTCTTATTCATAGTAACGTCGAGTGAATAGCCCATCCATCTTGTTTACCGATAAATTTTTATTAATTTCAGCTACTTTGGCTTTGTTGTTAGCCGCGCCAGGTACAATAAGACAATGCTTCAGACATTTTATATTATAATATTTTTTTTGAAGAATTTTCAACATATACGACCAATGTTTACTTTTAATTAATATATTATTAATTGATATTTCAGAAAACGCACGCATTAACGCGAACAGACATTATCGACAAGGTAGCTAATAAATTTTGTGTATTTTACAACCAATATTTATTATTGTTATTATGTATTGTCAAGTAGTCCTTTAATGTTTTTTTTTTGTTTAAAACTAATACTATGCTTAAGAATAACTAAAATGGTTTTATAGAAACTTCAACGTTTATCTATTAAATTCAAAACAAAGAAAGATTATCGTTGCAATCATAATAACCGATGTTACTGCTAACTAACTGAAATTTTTGAAATTTTTTTTGTTTTTTGAATTTTAGATGTGGTAGACAAAGAGCAAACATTACAGATAAGAATAAGTGACTATGGTAAAACTGTGCACCGAATAAATTATAAAACCAACAAATGTTAGATTGGTTAGAATGTACCAGCTAGATTGCTAGCAATTATTTAGATCTCCATTGATATTACATAAATCTCAAGAATTTAGACTTGGACAAGCTCTAGGTATCACTGGCGATCTAGGTGTCCTTTTGCCGTTATGATTGAGATCAAATTTTGTAATGCTATAATATTTTATCGTTCATTTTATAATGCAAGTCCTAAAGTCATAAGAAGCTAGCCAAATCGTCGAAACTTTGTACGGTATTGAAAATTGTAATATAAAAGTCATGTTTTTTATTTTTCTTACAGCAATGCTAAATCCTATTTTCCCGATCATAGGTAATATAAACAATTTTTAAAAACGGATACAATCATTTGTGTTTTGCTCGGTTTCGGACGCGAAGGCGAGTCCCCTTTTCCATTTTCGACCACAACAATGTTCATCTCCGCAACGAAACTCGAACAGACAACAATATAAAGTTAAACATTTCTTAACGTCTCATCATTGTTATATTTGATAATTTCAGATTTCAATGACATTGCTTTGTCGGATATGGGGGACACCAGAAGAAATATAACTGAGGCAGCTTTAAGACGTTTACTCGTGGAAGTCGAAAGTACGTATAACCCAGAGGGTCGCAATAAGTAAAATATTAAAATTTAAGCAAAATGGCGAGCTGCAGTATGATCACAACGACGAAACTACATTAATTGTGTGGTATCGATTGTTAATTTGCATCACTAATTCTAGTATTCGATACAAAACATTTGACTTATATATTATCGTATTATATCTTGTGTCTAATTTATCTGTATAGAATTGATTTGTATAGGTTAATAAGGATTACACTGTGCAGTGTTTATACACAGATATATCTATTTTTTCAAAGGTGATCCCGAAATTCCTAAGTTTGACGTACAGGATACATGTCGTTTAATAGCGTTGTTCGTAACCGCTAATGACCCAACTAAACGCTTAGCTTATTGCCTTGCCGTTGTACTCGACGATTACCGTGACTGTCATCTCTTTGACGAGTCAGAACATATTTTCAAGTACAGGAAGTTTCGCGATGGTTACTATGAAGTATCGGGCATTAATAACAGACCAGGTGACAAACTCACCTAACCTACATAATTGCATGAATCGCCGTTTTATGTTATGTTCAACGCTTTACAATATAATATAATATAGACAAGACAACTACCATAAAAAAATATAGTTTAGATGTTATGTAAAGATAATATTAAATTTTAAGGATAATAAAAGACGCAGATTTTAAAATAAACCTTTGAAAAAAATCAAAATAATTGTGTACAATCAACGTAGAGTCAATAAAAATTGTTTCAAAAAAAAAAAATGTATTCAAATAATATTTAAGGACAATGTAAAATCGAATGATGTATTTAAAAAATTAAATATTTACATTTGCACAACATATTTTATTTAAAAATAACCAAAGTCATCTAATCTATACATAAATGTATAAATATGATATATATATAGACATGAAAACTACAATAAAAAATAGTCTAAATGACCCTTTACCAAATGATTTTTACTATGTACCTATTGTGCTTGATATTATCCACCGTTTAAATTCATAATAAACATGTTTTTCTCTATTCATATTCATTGTTTTCTTTGTTTTTTAAATAAACATAAAGATGATGCCAAAATCAAATTAACCTATCACAGCAATAAAATACTATTAAACGTTGCCAGCAGTAATTTAAATATACTCAATACGGGTCATATTAGGGATTCACATATTTACATAAGAATTAAAATGATAAAAGCTACTTTCAAGAAAACCGTTTCAACCATTTAATATAATATGGATTTTGCTGGACATTTTTTTAGGAAAGACATATATTACTTTATAAAAAAAACCTAACCTCACCGATATTATATACAAAAATGTGTTTATGATTGTGTTATTACAATTTTTTGGTGGTTTTCAATCTAAGTACTACCCACCTCGTGACACCCTAGTTTATGTGTTGGACCTTTTTTTATTTTTGGAATAAACCCCACTCGAGTAAAAGATGCTAATTTGTCTATTCTGGAAACGTCGGTCTTCGGAATATATAATTACTTTACAAAACCGACAAAAATTTACAAAATGTATAAGTATTCTATATTTCTTTGAATTTGTTAAATCGAGTGACCATTATATAATATAACATCATACTATAATAGCATTGAGTATATATTAATAAAAAACTGATAAGGTAATAACATACTTGAGGTTTGGTAAACTATACATAACTGTAGTATAAAGAAAATATGTAAAACGTGTAATATCAGTATAGGTACTCCCTTTGTATGTATTACTTTTTAATTATTTTAATTTTATAAATACAATGACTGTAATATTTTATATGTATTCTATATTTGTTTGAATTTGTTCATGTTTCATAGTACATGGGATGTAAAATAATAACCTGGTATTATATACCTTATAGCTGTATTGTAAAATATACAAAAGTAGGGACCAAAAGATATTTTCTAACATTATATTGGTATACATGTTTTTAGTTTAAACTAAGATATTTTCATTTTCAAACTACAGTGGATTCCGTTTTGTATAGGTACTCACCACCTATTTGTACACGTCGAGCGGTTGCTCCTGTAAACCGAAATTATTTAATAAACAATACAAACATTAAAAAAAAAAAAAGATATAAAATGTAATGTAATGACTAATGGCGCGTTGTCGTCTAAGCTGGTCGGTGTGATCTGTGTGCATCCGGTTGACAAAATGTATTTAAATGCAAGATTTCGGTTATACATTTCAACTCTGTGCCAGAGTAATTGTACATTTAACGGTCAACATAGTGCGTGGTTTTAAGGAAAATTCTCCGCGGACTCAGTTAGAGTACACCCGATATGTGTATCCGAAACGTATAGGGTGTACCCTGTGTAATGAATAAGTTCAACAATATGGTAGTGAGCGCAGGTAATATAACGCCTGTTGTAGGCAACAGTTGAAATGCATTTTCTCGTTGCATATAATACAAATGAAAATATTAGTTTCCAAAAAAGAAAATACGTGTTCAAATAATAGTAGTGAATTCGAATGACGAGTGTTTTTAATTAGAGGGTAAATTAATTTGTGATCAAGTTAGTCTCAAAAATTATGATTAAAAGTCATGATGTGTGTTCTACATATAGTGTTTTTGGATTATTTTACATACAAGGCTAATTAGAACCCGTAATCATTGATAAATTAGTATTGTTTTATAGTCCTAAAGGATCATAGTTGTCAAATAAATAAATAAATGATCCATTGGCAACTGTAACTGTGATATAAACTTATTATATTTTCTTTAGGAACATATGAAACACTTTAGTGTTTTGATGACATTAGTCCTTGGACATGTTTTGGCATTATCAGAAGGTAAGTATTACGGTTTTCTGAAGTACCGGAGGTTTATAACAGATTAGTAATGGGAATCTTAAAATCCGGAATTAAAAAAAATTTATGTCAACTTAAAAAATTGTATAATCCTTAAATACTATTACAGTATAAAGCTGTGTACTTATGTAAAATATACTGATTGAAATTAATAAAAAAAAAAACGCTTAATTTTAACTTTACGTTGCTTTCGAATTTTGAATTACGGATTTTATGATTTTAACAAATCGAAATTCAGAAAGAAAATTTTCTTATTGTTGTTGTGTTTTATTTTTATATTCTTGTTGCAAATATTTAATATTGGTCAACAGATTTATATTTCATTAAAATTTAATATTTTTTTATAGTTAAAAATCCTAATTTCTGGTTTACCATCAGTAGTTTAAATTAACTTTTTTAATTTTCCTTTTACTTCTTTTTAGATGCCTTTAAACAGCACGTATTCCATACAAGTCAGTATATCCAATAAGTATTTATGTATAAAATATATTTACCTATTATATAAAAGTTTTACCTATTTTTACATCTTTTGTTTGCTTTTTAATCATAGACTATATCCTCAAACGATTAAATCCAGGTAAAATATAAAATAAATTGAAAAACAATGTATTTTTTACGTTTTTTCTGACAACTGAATTATTGATTTTACAAAAACTAATGAAATGAAAATTCTACTGTGTAAAATGTTTCAAAAGGTGTAACTGCTTTTGAATTCAGTAGGGGTTGATTTTTTTGCTCATTTCACCTTTGCTCGTAATTTTTATACTTAAAAGGTTATTTAAGGTTTTTTTTACAATCGTGTCGATACAATCATTGGAAATTTATTTTATAACGTACCTAATAAAAGTGCTATAACCTTACTAAATAAATATACACAATTTAAAAACATGTCTCTTTCTAGAGCAATTGGGCGCTATAATCACAAATTATATATTGGATCCTATGGATATTGGTAAGCATATTAATTCTTATAATAGTAAATGCGCTACCAATGACTAAATTAAATTGTTTTCTTTAGAACTTTTTTTTTGTTTCCCAACCGCACTTCCCGTCCCATTATAACTATTGAACTCTTATTACTTAAAAAATAGTTATCCAAAGCTGGTTATCGACCAGTCAAAGTTGTTTGTACATTATTATAAATTTAACAAGTTTATGAAATGTATGCATTACCATTTAAGTTTCAAAAGGATACTAATTCTTATAATAGCAATTTTTTTTAAAACTTTTTCAAAATTGTTTCTACATTGCTATCAATTAAACAATTATGCGTTACCATTTAAGTATGAAAAGTTACTATCATAAAAACTTAGTTGGGAGGAAGGTAAAAACAAAAAACAAAAATATAGTAAAAAGTTAAGATCACATTGTAAAAAAACACTGTGTAAAGAAAAAAATATATTTCTTATTAAACTCAGTGAGATATTGAGTGGTTAACGATAAGTTGATCACCTTGTATATATTTTTACTTTGTAATATTACCAATGGCAGCCGACGTGTCCATTTTTCCATTATATTGATTTGTGTAAAAATTATTTTTGCAAACATAAACCCAAAAATTCATAGTTGTAAATTTAGCAGACACGTCGTTTAATAGCGTTGCTCACTATTCAAGACATTCAATGGTGCTATTCATATTTACTCAATGACTTATTATGAATTAATAGCCAATCTCGTATACCAATAAATTTGTATTAATTTCAGAGACGCTGACTACGTTTTTGGCCGCACCAAGTATTAAGACTCAGACATTATAAATTATAATTTGTTAAAAAATTTATTTGTAACAAATAAGACCGATTTATACATTTAATAATTATATACGTTGATATTTCAGCGTCCGTTTTCAAGGATGGACAAGGGGAATATCCAGATGGTAAATATTTAATGTTTAGTCATAATGTCCTCATACGATTTGCATGTGGTCCGTTTTTAAGGAATTTTGTCTAAAACCTAACTCTGTTTCCTACATAAACTAAAAAAGTTGTCAAAGAACTTGCATAGCATTAGAGAATTTATATATAAGTTAACTAGTAATAACCATTTACTTGGTGGGGATTTTTAAGGAGTAAAACTTCAGTGAGTTTGTTAAACGTTTATTAAAATAATTGTAATGATACAATTTTCAAATACTTTGATACGAGTAATAGAATGATAATTAAAATTTGTGCTAATACATTTGTATTTGTATGTGAATATTATAATATGAAGTACAGATATTTATAAATTATTATTAAATTAAGTTTATGGTATTAAATATTTATGTAATCATAACAGCAGGAATCAATATTCTTAGTGAAAGAACCTGGTGCTCCGAACATAAGTAATATATACAAATTAACTCAGTTATAAAATCAAAGCAATGATTCTGTGTACGATTTATCATTTACATAGTGAATTAAGCAACACATTGGGAACTTAAATATCTTCTCACCTTCGCATCGAAACTCAAACAGTCAAAAAATTTAATTAAACATTTCCGAATGTCTCATTATTATTTTCATGTTATTATGTTTTATAATTTCAGACTTGGAGCAGATTACTTTGTCTGATATGGGGAAGGAAAGAAGAAATAGAATTAAGAGATCTATATTACGTTTACTCCAGGCAGTCGAAGGTATGTTTAACCCAGAGGGTCGCAAAAAGTAAAATATTATGATTCAAGCAAAAAAGCGAGTTGCAGTGTGATCAGAATGACGATTATTATATGGAGTTCTAATTAACCATTTGATTTGAGAATATATATTTTTATTCAAAGTGGTCACACTGTCGCTTCGACTTTTTGCTTAATGAGTCGTTGAGAACTTGATATATATTACTATGTTACAGCTCTTTATATTTTTAAAAATTATGTTTTCAAAGGTTATATTTAAATCGCGGCTTTTAATGTACAGCAGAGATGTCGTTTAGTAGCGTTGCTCATAAATGTAGAACAACCAGACAAACACATATTTTATAGCAGTGCCGCCAAATTCATGGCTAACGAAAATAATTGTCGTTTTAAATATAATAAATCTGACGAACGGGAACTCGTGTACAGAATGTGGCATGATGGATACTACTATCAAGTATTTGACGTAAATAATAGAGGCCCCAAACTCACCCCGATACTGGAACAACAACAGACAGTGTCGTTGCACAATTTGTTAAAAAAATCTTGCAGATAGACACATTTTTTAAAAATGTTTAATATGCTTTATACAATTTAAATAACATACTATCTTGGAATCATTTAAAATGAGTTTTGTTTTATTTGTTTTGGGTACCAGAGTACAGTTAAAAAAACGCTACACATGCTAATATTTATTTCGATGGTAGTCAGTACCAACTCTACTAAGTATAATGTAATTTCATACTAAACTCAACTAATTATTCAATACCTTAATCGGAGAAATTCTTAGGGAAAGTACGTTTGAAGTAGGTTTAGAGGCTCTTTAATAATAATTTGAACTACTAACCCTCGGAATATTCGATGACGATTGACGTCTGGTTGTGTAAATACACAATTTCTTTTTCAAATGAAAAGGACATTATACTGTATAGCTATAATACTGTTTAGATGTGGCAGCGTATAAACTAAAATGGCATAAGCAAAGTTTGCTTCCGTCAAAACAATCGTTATCGGTTTTAATACTGTTTGTGAAATACGAAATATATGAAATCGGGTGACTGGTCTACACACCGCAATAATATCATTATCGGTTCTTCTATTTTTTAAGAACAGCGACCAGTTCTTGGTAATATTAAATATAGGACAAACGTAAAAATGTGTGCTTCGTGTCAAATCATAATGTTTTTGATGGCAAACAAACATCAATATGTACATTTTAAATTATAATTAATAAGGGATAACCAATTTTAATGGACATTCATACATTCATCAAGTGGGTATTTCTCCATATATATCTTGAGAAATTTTAATTTATCTATTGATGATGTTAATTAGGATTACATTGTGCAGTGTTTAATTAGTTGTATACAATTATTTATTTGTATTTAAAGTGGTTACACTGTCGCCTCGCCTTCGTGCTTACTTCGTTGTTGACTACATGATATTAACACAGATGATAAGATAATATAAGGTTTTATCTAATCTGTTACGTTATACTATGATGTTATAGCTATATCTATTTTAAAAAATTATTTTTGGTAATATTAAATATAGAAAAACGTAAATATGTGTGCTCCGTGTCAGATCATAATGTTTTTGATGGCAAACAAACATCAATATGTACATTTTAAATTATAATTAATAAGGGATATCCATTTTCAATGGACCTATACATTCGTTGAGTGGGTATTTTTCCATATAGTCCAATGGCAAAACACATCTAACCTACATAGTACACAATTAGCGAAATTCGATTGTCATAATTCGTTATTTTATTTTATTTTCAACACATTACAAAATAATTAAAATATTTAATAACAATAAATGTTTACTTTAGGTCATTTTAATAGCATTATAACGCATATTAAATCTTAATGTACAATACAGTTATTCGCTATTAGTATTGGAATATCAGTGTTCTACTGCCATGCAACAATACATTTAGTGCAATTATTTGAATAGGTACCACACAGAAGGTACACAAACAACAAAACAAACTACATTACACAGTAGCCGCCGTAATGGCAAACTTGTTTTTGATAAAAAAAACTATTTTACAACTGATCAATAATTTTGAAAAACAACTTTATATAATTAAAATACAATGTTTTCTTTATAAGCAGTTGACTCAATTATAAGTGATATCCTTGTTTTAATATCTAAAAGCGAGGAAGCTCTGTTGGTTCATTAAAATCACAGTAGTCAGAAATCAGTGATATACTAAAATTTATTTTATATCCAACACAAAAACTAAAAAGTAATCATATCCTCTTGATAAGTTTGATGAAGAATTACTGTCATTATATCCACAAGCAAAAATCACTATTTCATAATTTTAAATATTGTATTAAAAATATTACACGTTTGTCTACGATATTTAATATTATATTATTAGTTCGATTTGTTCCCAAGACGAAAGGACTGAATTGTCCTATATATGTATATTTCATCCGCTGTTTGAAAATCAATTACAGTATGTCTATTAATGATTCAGAGTATGGTTAATTGTATATTTTAAAAATGCGTTTACTGTGAAAAAATAGAATAAAAAATATTGGCAACTCTACTGGGTTATGTCGAAACCCAAATTACATTTGAGAGTATAGTTTTTATTTTGTAATTAGCTATTAATTTGGCAAAGATCAGTTTTTATAAAATACAAATAATTAAAATAATAGTACTTTAAGATTGGTTGTGGAAAGTAATGTATACTATGTACGCTTCTTTAAAGATACAATGCCAAGTTTAAACCATAATGGCTTTGACTCACAGAACAAATTATTTAAATTAAAAATAATTCTTTAGAGCTTATACAAATAATGAACCGGTAAATTAAATGGCACGGTCAAAATTTATTAAACCATCTTTGTTTTTTTGATATTGCCTATCCAAAACTCCTTAAAAACAGACCGCGTGCAAAATCTCGAATTATTCATTCGTGAAGATTAATAATTATTTTCCCCTTTTTTTTATTTGCTTATAATTATTGTGGTTGTCTGACTAATATGGCAATCAGTAAAGTATCCTCATTGCTGTGTTAATAAGTATACACCATCTGTCAAACTCTAAATTAATATTTTGTAAAAAATTGCCTATACTTTACTCCTTAAAAATGGGCGGAGTTGCGTCCTCTTAATTAATATTTATCATATTTGTTAATTTCAATTCTTTATATTGTTCTGGAAATACTACCAGAATAACTACAATAGGTGATATACTATTGTATCAAAACCACCCATTGTATCAGATGATTGTATTTCATAGACAATGATTATTTTGATGAGACAATGATGCCAACATAAAAAAATAACAATCCTTTTGTTTTTCAAATCTGGTACACCGTATATAAAAAAAAATATGTAATTTAAACCCAAATCATGTACTGAAGTATTCAAAACTTCTAGGATCACTCGGAGTATAATATGTTCATAAAAATATTGACATGAATTGATTATAAGACTTAACCTCTTTATGTTTAAATATACAAAATGTGTTCAAATAAATTTGTAAATTCGAATGACGCATTTTCAATAAAATATATGTACGTTTCCACAACGAATTATGGTATTTAAAAATAGTTTTCCTACTGCAAGCTGTTCAAACATTTCGTAGATAGTATAGTTTGCCATACTTAGATTTTACAAAGGAAAGGCCTTATAAAATCCACATCCAATAAGTTGGAACGTAGTTTTGTTGGTTTATTATATATTTTTCCGGTAAAAATGAAACATTTTTGTGTTTTAATGATATTAGTCCTTGTAAATGTTTTGGCAGTTACAGAAAGTAAGTATCGTGGTTTTCTGAAGTACTTGAGGTTTAAATTAGTGACGGTAATCCAAACATCTGGATTAAAAAAAACAAGATCTTTAAGCCAATTAAAAAAAACCTTACAACTATTAAATACAATTCCACTATAAAGTTGTGTGCCCAAGTAAAATGTACTAATAGAAATTAATAAAAAAAAACGCTTAATTTTCATTCTGAATTTTCAAATTTCGACAAATCCGAAATCCAAAACCAAAATATTATCTTATTGTTGTTGTGGTTTATTTTCATCGCAATTATTTAACATGGGTACATTCATTTATATTGTCTTGATATTTAATGGTTCTTTAATACTTTTTAAGTGGCTTAAACATCATGTTTTAGTTTTTGGATTTTTTAATTCCCATCACCAGTTTAAATTAACTTTAAATAATTTCTTTTTTTTTTAAGTTGTCTATAAGATGCATGTATACAAAACAAGTCAGTATATCCAATAATTATTTATCCATGAAATATATTTACAGGTGTCAAATATATTTTACTTTTATTCACATATTCTGTTTACTCTTTTTAATTACAGACTATATGCTTGGTCAAATACGACAAGGTAAAATATTAATACAATTGAAAAATCATTTATTTTCTAAGTTTTTTCTGATGAATGAATTTTGATTTTACAATAATTAATGATATGCAAATTCTACTGTGTAATAAGTTTCAAAAATGTTTACTGCTTTTGAGCCCAGAAAGGATGGATTTTTTTCTTTATATCATCTTTGATTGTAGTTTTTTGACTTAAAATATAATTTAAGGTACATTTAAAGTACATTTAAAGTGCATTAATATAAATTAAACTATTGTTAATCGATGCGTTTGTTGAAAAATGATTTTATAAATTATAAAGTTGAGTATCTACAACTTTCCCAACCTGTGCTGGGTTTTTTTAAAACTATATTTACATCGTTATATCAATATACACCATTAAGAAACATGTGTTTTTCTAGGTCAGGTGGACGAACTAGTCCAGAGTTATGTCTGCTCAGGCGTTGAGATTTGTAAGAATATTAATTATTTTTCAATATTTATTATAAATTCTAATAACTTTTCCACATTAGGAGATTAGGGAACTTGCTATTTCCTAAACTATATCAGGTCGTTTTAACAGTCTTCCTAAGAGTTCTGAGGAAATGATTTGTGATGTTACAGTTTTATATATTTTTACACTATGGCTTGACTTTGTCGACACCTGTCTTATTCATAGTAACGTCGAGTGAATAGCCCATCCATCTTGTTTACCGATAAATTTTTATTAATTTCAGCGACTTTGACTTTGTTGTTGGCCGCGCCAGGTACTATAAGACAATGCTTCAGACATTTTATATTAACAATGTTTACTTTTAATTAATATATTATTAATTGATATTTCAGAAAACGCACGCATTGACGCGAACGGACATTATCGACAAGGTACCTAATAAATTTTGTGTATTTTACAACCAATATTTATTATTGTTATTATGTATTGTCAAGTAGTCCTTTAATGTTTTTTTTTTTGTTTAAAACTAATACTATGCTTAAGAATAACTAAAATGGTTTTATAGAAACTTCAACGTTTATCTATTAAATTCAAAACAAAGAAAGATTATCGTTGCAATCATAATAACCGATTTTACTGCTAACTAACTGAATTTTTTTTGTTTTTTGAATTTTAGATGTGGTAGACGAAGAGCAAACAATACAGATAAGAATAAGTGACTATGGTAAAACTGTGCACCGAATAAATTATAAAACCAACAAATGTTAGATTGGTTAGAATGTACCAGCTAGATTGCTAGCAATTATTTAGATCTCCATTGATATTACATATATCTCAAGAATTTAGACTTGGTCAAGCTCTAGGTATCACTGGCGATCTAGGTGTCCTTTTGCCGTTATGATTGAGATCAAATTTTGTAATGCTATAAAATTTTATCGTTCATTTCATAATGCAAGTTCTAAAGTCATAAGAAGCTAGCCAAATCGTCGAAACTTAGCACGGTATTAAAAATTGTAATATAAAAGTCATGTTTTTTATTTTCCTTACAGCAATGCTAAATCCTATTTTCCAGAACATAGGTAATATAAACAATTTTTAAAAACGGATACAATCATTTGTGTTTTGCTCGGTTTCGGACGCGAAGGCGAGTCCCCTTTTCCATTTTCGCCCACAACAATGTTCATCTCCGCAACGAAACTCGAACAGACAACAATATAAAGTTAAACATTTCTTAACGTCTCATCATTGTTATATTTGATAATTTCAGATTTCAATGACATTGCTTTGTCGGATATGGGGGACACCAGAAGAAATATAACTGAGGCAGCTTTAAGACGTTTACTCGTGGAAGTCGAAAGTACGTATAACCCAGAGGGTCGCAATAAGTAAAATATTATAATTTAAGCAAAATGGCGAGCTGCAGTATGATCACAACGACGAAACTACATTAATTGTGTGGTATCGATTGTTAATTTGCATCACTAATTCTATACAGATATATCTATTTTTTCAAAGGTGATCCCGAAATTCCCAAGTTTGACGTACAGGATACATGTCGTTTAATAGCGTTGTTCGTAACCGCTAATGACCCAACTAAACGCTTAACTTATTGCCTTGCCGTTGTACTCGACGATTACCGTGACTGTCATCTCTTTGACGAGTCAGAACATATTTTCAAGTACAGGAAGTTTCGCGATGGTTACTATGAAGTATCGGGCATTAATAACAGACCAGGTGCCAAACTCACCTAACCTACATAATTGCATGAATCGCCGTTTTATGTTATGTTCAACGCTTTACAATATAATATAATATAGACAATAATAATGACACTTTACCAAATGATTTTTACTATGTACCTATTGTGCTTGATATTATCCACCGTTTAAATTCATAATAAACATGTTTTTCTCTATTCATATTCATTGTTTTCTTTGTTTTTTAAATAATCATAAAGATGATGCCAAAATCAAATTAACCTATCACAGCAATAAAATACTATTAAACGTTGCCAGCAGTAATTTAAAAGTACTCAATACGGGTCATATTAGGGATTCACGTGCTTACATAAGAATTAAAATGATAAAAGCTACTTTCAAGAAAACCGTTTCAACCATTTAATATAATATGGATTTTGCTAGACATGTATTTTAGGTAAGACATAAAATATAACTTTATAAAAAAAACCTAACCTCACTGATATTATATACAAAAAATGAGTTTAAGGTTGTGTTATTACAATTTATTGGTGGTTTTCAATCTAAGTACTACCCACCTCGTGACACCCTAGTTTATGTGTTGGACCTTTTGTTATTCTTGGAATAAACCCCACTTGAGTAAAAGATGCCAATTTGTATATATATATAATTTGGAATATATAATTACTTTACAAAACCGACAAAAATTTACAAAATGTATAAGTATTCTATATTTCTTTGAATTTGTTAAATCAAGTGACCATTAAATAATATAACATGACATAATATAACATATAAAACTGATAATGTAATAAAATATTTGAGGTTTGGTATACTATACATAACTGTAGTATAAATAAAATACTTCAACGTATAATATCAGTATAGGTACTCCCTTTGTATATTACTTTTTAATTATTTTAATTTTATAAATACAATGACTGTATTATTTTATATGTATTCTATATTTGTTTGAATTTGTTCATGTTTCTTAGTACTTGGGATGTAAAATAATAACCTGGTATTATATACCTTATAGCTGTATTGTAAAATTTACAAAAGTAGGGACCAAAAGACATTTTCTAACATTATATTGGTATACATGTTTTTAGTTTAAACTAAGATATTTTCATTTTCAAACTACAGTGGATTCCGTTTTGTATAGGTACTCACCACCTATTCGTACACGTCGAGCGGTTGCTCTTGTATACCGAAATTATTTAATAAACAGTACAAACATTTAAAAAAAAAGATATACAATTTAATGTGTGGCGTGTTGTCGTCTAAGCTAGTCAGTGTGATCTGTGTGCATCCGGTTGACAAAATGTATTTAAATACAAGATTTCGGTTATATATTTCAACTCTGTGCCAGAGTAATTGTACATTTAACGGTCAACATAGTGCGTGGTTTTAAGGAAAATTCTCCGCGGACTCAGTTAGAGTACACCCGATATGTGTATCCGACACGTATAGGGTGCACCCTGTGTAATGAATAAGTCCAACATTATGGTAGTGAGCGCAGGTAATATAACGCCTGTTGTAGGCAACAGTTGAAATGCATTTTCTCGTTGCATATAATAAAAAATATTAGTTTCCGAAAAAGAAAATACGTGTTCAAATAATAGTAGTGAATTCGAATGACGAGTGTTCAATCCAAATTGTGTTTACGTTGTACAACCTATGCCGTGTAAAACACAATGTTTCCACTGCTAGTCGTTTAACCGCTTCATACATTTTGCATAGTTCATCATATTTCGATTTTACTTGATAACAATCAAAATCCAATACAAGTACAACGAAAACACCGCAAGACGTCCACATCCAAAGAGTAGGAATTTAGTTTATCAAAATAATCCAACTGGTTTGGTTTGGCAAGCGTTAAATCATTTTTAAGTAAGTTTTACTATGGAAACTCTGTAAGACGTTCACTTTACTTTATTCCTATACTGCTTTAGTAATGTTATTTTTACCATCATTTATAAACTATAATTTATTGATTACATTTTATAACGAAACCCAATGTTTTTTATGAAGTTATTGAAACTAATAAAACCTATTTTATTTAAATTAAAATGAAAACTGGGTCCAACAAATTTTCTTTAAACCTATTTTTTCTTAGAAAAAATATTATTTATAACAGATTTTTTTTAATTAGAGGGTAAATTAATTTGTGATCAATTAGTCTCAAAAATTATGATTAAAAGTCATGATGTGTGTTCTACATATAGTGTTTTTGGATTATTTTACATACAAGGCTATAAATACATACAAGGCTATAAATAAATAATCCATTGGCAACTGTAACTGTGATATGAACTTATTATATTTTCTTTAGGAACATATGAAACACTTTAGTGTTTTGATGACATTAGTCCTTGGACATGTTTTGGCATTATCAGAAGGTAAGTATTACGGTTTTCTGAAGTACCGGAGGTTTATAACAGATTAGTAATGGGAATCTTAAAATCCGGAATTAAAAAAAATTTATGTCAACTTAAAAAATTGTATAATCCTTAAATACTATTACAGTATAAAGCTGTGTACTTATGTAAAATATACTGATGGAAATTAATAAAAAAAAAAACGCTTAATTTTAACTTTACGTTGCTTTCGAATTTTGAATTACGGATTTTATGATTTTAACAAATCGAAATTCAGAAAGAAAATTTTCTTATTGTTGTTGTGTTTTATTTTTATATTCTTGTTGCAAATATTTAATATTGGTCAACAGATTTATATTTCATTAAAATTTAATATTTTTTTAATAGTTAAAAATCCTAATTTCTGGTTTACCATCAGTAGTTTAAATTAACTTTTTTAATTTTCCTTTTACTTCTTTTTAGATGCCTTTAAACAGCACGTATTCCATACAAGTCAGTATATCCAATAAGTATTTATGTATAAAATATATTTACCTATTATATAAAAGTTTTACCTATTTTTACATCTTTTGTTTGCTTTTTAATCATAGACTATATCCTCAAACGATTAAATCCAGGTAAAATATAAAATAAATTGAAAAACAATGTATTTTTTACGTTTTCTCTGACAACTGAATTATTGATTTTACAAAAACTAATGAAATGAAAATTCTACTGTGTAAAATGTTTCAAAAGGTGTAACTGCTTTTGAATTCAGTAGGGGTTGATTTTTTTGCTCATTTCACCTTTGCTCGTAATTTTTATACTTAAAAGGTTATTTAAGGTTTTTTTTACAATCGTGTCGATACAATCATTGGAAAATTATTTTATAACGTACCTAAAAAAGGTGCTATAACCTTACTAAATAAATATACACAATTTAAAAACATGTCTCTTTCTAGAGCAATTGGGCGCTATAATCACAAATTATATATTGGATCCTATGGATATTGGTAAGCATATTAATTCTTATAATAGTAAATGCGCTACCAATGACTAAATTAAATTGTTTTCTTTAGAACTTTTTTTTTGTTTCCCAACCGCACTTCCCGTCCCATTATAACTATTGAACTCTTATTACTTAAAAAATAGTTATCCAAAGCTGGTTATCAACCAGTCAAAGTTGTTTGTACATTATTATAAATTTAACAATTTTATGAAATGTATGCATTACCATTTAAGTTTCAAAAGGATACTAATTCTTATAATAGCAATTTTTTTTAAAACTTTTTCAAAATTGTTTCTACATTGCTATCAATTAAACAATTATGCGTTACCATTTAAGTATGAAAAGTTACTATCATAAAAACTTAGTTGGGAGGAAGGTAAAAACAAAAAACAAAAATATAGTAAAAAGTTAAGATCACATTGTAAAAAAACACTGTGTAAAGAAAAAAATATATTTCTTATTAAACTCAGTGAGATATTGAGTGGTTAACGATAAGTTGATCACCTTGTATATATTTTTACTTTGTAAGATTAGCAATGGCAGCCGACGTGTCCATTTTTCCATTATATTGATTTGTGTAAAAATTATTTTTCAAACATAAACCCGAAAATTCATAGTTGTAAATTTAGCAGACACATCGTTTCATAGCGTTGCTCACTATTCAAGACATTAAATGATGCTATTCATATTTACTCTATGACTTATTATGAATTAATAGCCAATCTCGTATACCGATAAATTTGTATTAATTTCAGAGACGCTGACTACGTTTTTGGCCGCACCAAGTATTAAGACTCAGACATTATAAATTATAATTTTTTTTAAAAATTTATTTGTAACAAATAAGACCGATTTATACATTTAATAATTATATACGTTGATATTTCAGCGTCCGTTTTCAAGGATGGACGTGGGGAATATCCAGAGGGTAAATATTTAATGTTTAGTCATAATGTCCTTGTACGATTTGCATGTGGTCCGTTTTTAAGGAATTTTGTCTAAAATCTAAAATCTGTTTCCTACATAAACTAGAAAAGTTGTCAAAGAACTTCCATAGCATTAGAGAATTTATATATATAATAACTAGTAAATGGTTATGGTGGGGAATTTTTAAAGAGCGAACCTTCAGTGAGCTTGCTTAACGTTTATTAAAATACTTGTAATGATACAATTTTCAAATACTTTAATACGAGCAATAGAATGATAATTAAAATTTGTGCTATTACATTTGTATTTGTATGTGAATATTATATTATGAAGTACAGATATTTATAAATTATTATTAAATTAAGTTTATGGTATTAAATATCTATGTAATCATAACAGCAAGAATCAATATTCTTCAATGTAACTGAATATAAAATATTTTAAAATTTACTGTTTTAAATTTCAGGTTTGAAAGATAACGAGAAACATATACTAAGCCGTATGAAATATTATGGTAAAAATGTGATAAATTATAAAACCAACAAACGTTAGATTGGTAAAAAACCAGCTAGGTCCTCTTCAATTGTTTAGAATTATATACTCTGAGAATACTCTGTCATCCATGTCCCATCAACACAATTCGAACACTAATATATAATTGTTAATTTTTATTAATGTGTTATTTATTTTAGTGAAAGAACCTGGTGCTCCGAACATAAGTAATATATACAAATTAACTCAGTTATAAAATCAAAGCAATGATTCTGTGTACGATTTATCATTCATATAGTGAATTAAGCATCACATTGGAAACTAATATATCTTCTCATCTTCGCATCGAAACTCGAACAGTCAAAAAATAAAATTAAACATTTCCGAATGTCTCATTATTATTTTCATGTTATTATGTTTTATAATTTCAGACTTGGAGAAGATTACTTTGTCTGATATGGGGAAGGAAAGAAGAAATAGAATTAAGAGATCTGTATTACGTTTACTCCAGGCAGTCGAAGGTATGTTTAACCCAGAGGGTCGCAAAAGGTAAAATACTATGATTCAAGCAAAAAAGCGAGTTGCAGTGTGATCAGAATGACGATTATTATATGTAATTGAATTAACCATTTGAACTGAAAACATATATTTTTATTCAAAGTGGTCACACTGTCGATACGACTTCTTGCTTAATGAGTCGTTGAGAACTTGATATATATTACTATGTTACAGCTCTTTATATTTTTAAAAATTATGTTTTCAAAGGTTATATTCAAACCGCGGCTTTTAATGTACAGCAGAGATGTCGTTTAGTAGCGTTGCTCATAAATGTAGAACAACCAGACAAACACATATTTTATAGCAGTGCCGCCAAATTCATGGCTAACGAAAATAATTGTCGTTTTAAATATAATAAATCTGACGAACGGGAACTCGTGTACAGAATGTGGCATGATGGATACTACTATCAAGTATTTGACGTAAATAATAGAGGCCCCAAACTCACCCCGATACTGGAACAACAACAACAGTGTCGTTGCACAATTTGTTAAAAAAATCTTGCAGATAGACACATTTTTTAAAAATGTTTAATATGCTTTATACAATTTAAATAACATACTATCTTGGAATCATTTAAAATGAGTTTTGTTTTATTTGTTTTGAGTACCAGAGTACAGTTAAAAAAACGCTACACATGCCAATATTTATTTCGATGGTAGTCAGTACCAACTCTACTAAGTATAATGTAATGTCGTACTAAACTCAAATAATTATTCAATACCTTAATCGGAGAAATTCTTAGGGAAAGTACGTTTGAAGTAGGTGTAGAAGCTCTTTAATAATAGATTGAACTACTAACCTCCGAAATATTCGATGACGATTGACGTCTGGTTGTATAAATACACAATTTCTTTTTCAAATGAAAATTACATTATACTGTATAGCTATAATACTGTTTATAGATGGCAGCATATAAACTACAGTCATAGGCAAAGTTTGCTTCCGTCAAAACAATCGTTTTCGGTTTTAATACTGTTGTAAAATACAAAATATATGAAATCGGGTGATTGGTCTACACACCGCAATAATATCATTATTAGTTGTTCTATTTATTAAGAACAGCGACCAGTTCTTGGTAATATTAAATATAGGATAAACGTAAGAATGTGTGCTTCGTGTCAAATCATTATGTTTTTGATGGCAAACAAACATCAATATGTACATTTTAAATTATAATTAATAAGGGATAACCAATTTTAATGGACATTCATACATTCATCAAGTGGGTATTTTTCCATATATATCTTGAGAAATTTTAATTTATCTATTGATGATGGTAATTGGGATTACATTGTGCACTGTGCAGAGTTTTACTAGTTGTAACCAATTGGCCATACTCTACGACTTGAGCAAGTATTTATAGTTTAAGTATTTTTATCAAATGTAATTGTTTTGAATTAAAACAAATATTTTGAATACACTTGTAGTATAATTTAAATAGTAATAATAAGTTGTAATTGCTATGGACAAAAGTTAAGATTTTCAAGTTGGTTGCGTACAATAAAAAAAAAATTGTTTCCAATAGCAAAATATGTTCAAATAATATTGATAATTCTAATGACGTCTTTGATGTAAAAAAATTTTGCGGTTGCACAACATAATACGGTATTTAAAAATAATTTTTCTACTGCTGTTCAAACATAAATTGCATAGTTCTGCGTACTTTTTGCTTTATAAAGATCAAAATTCAATACAGGTACAACTAAAACACCGAAAGACAATAATTGGTTTGGTATTGCAAGCGTTAAATAATTTTAAGTAAGTTTTATTATCGAATCTCATAATAAATCATAATCTCACCATAATTAATAAACTAATGTTTTTAATTAAATTTTATAAAAAAAAAACCAATATTTTATTTTATGAAGTTATTCACTCAAACTAATAAAATCTTTTTTTTCTAAAAAAAAAATAGTAACTGGGTCCAAAAAAATTGCTTTAAACCTTTTTTTGTTGTTAGAAAAAATATTAACTGAACAGTTCTTGAGAGGGTAATGTAAAAAAAAATCATTAGGTAAATTGTTTATGATCAAGCTGGTTTTAAAAATCATTATTAAAAGTCATGATGTGTGTTCTACATACTGTGTTTTCAGAATTTTTTTACATACAAGTCTATTTATAATCCATAAGCTCTGATGGTTTAGTATTGTTTTATGGTTCTAAAGGATCATAGTGGTCAAATAGTAAATAATCCATTGGCAACTGTATCTTAAAGATAAATTTATTGTATTTTCTTAAGGAAAAAATGAAACTTTACCGTGTTTTAATGGTGTTAGTCCTTGGAAATGTTTTGGCAGTTACAGAAAGTAAGTATTACGGTTTTCTGAAGTACCAAAGGTTTAAAATAGTGATGGGTTTTTGGATTCTCATGACTAGATTAACTTCAAATAATTTAACTTTTTTTTTTTTAGTTGACTATAAGATGGAGGTATACACAACAAGTCAGTACATCGTACAATTACTTTTTCATATAATATAACATTTTACAGTTATAAAAAACATATTTTCACCTTTTTTCACATATTTTGTTTACTTTTTATTATTTATAGACCACATGCTTGGATCAATAGAACCAGGTAAAATATAGTAGATAGTAATTTTTGGACTTGAAATATAATTTAAGGTATATTCAAACTACATTAATAAAAAAACTATTGTCATATTTTTTTTTATCATATTTAAATTATTGTATTATTATACAACGTTTAGAAATATGTGTTTTTTAGGTGAAGTGGACGAACTAGTGCAAAGTTTTATATGTTCATTCATTGCAATTCGTAAGCATAATATTAATTATTAATAATATGTTTTTAATATTTATTATAAATTCCAATTGCGATTCTACATTTAGAGATTAGGGAACTTGATATCTCCTAAACTAGATCAGGTCGTTTAAACAGTCTTCCCAGCGGTTTTCTGAGAAAATTGTTTTAAAACACAATTTAAAATGGTTTTTGACTTTACTTGGCTTGACTTTATCGACTCCTGTGTTTTTCAAAAAAATGTTGGCGAATAGCCAATCTCGTTTACAGATACTTTTTATTAATTTCAGCGCCGTTGGCTTTGTTGTTGTTCGCGCCAGGTAATATACCTAAGAAGTGAAAAATTATTTTTTATTATTTTCTAATTTTACTTTTAAGAGATACGATTACTTCTCGTTAATATTTCAGAAAGCGCACCCACTGACGCTAACGAGGAATATTCGCTAGGTAATGAAGTTTGTTTATTTTAAAACCAAATTTATTATTATTTTATATTGTCAAGAAGTCCTTAAACGGGGTTTGTTGTTTAAGAATTATCGTTGTAATCACATTAGCCGGAATCACTGATCTTCAGCGATACGGATATTATAAACTTATACAATTTTTTGTTTTTTTTTTTTTAATTTTAGATGTGGTAGAAGGAGAGCAAACAATACAGTTAAGAATAAGTGACTATGGTAAAACTGTGCACCGAATAATTTATAAAACCAAATTATGTAACCCCCAATTCGACCACTGATCATATATTGTTTGATTTTAATAATATAATATTTATTTAAGATGCAGCAAGGCAAAACGCTGGTGAAATGGTGGACATAAGTAATATAAACGAATGATTAAAATTACTCAAACAGACAAAGAATAAAATGTTTAAAATGTATCAACGTTCAATTATTGTTTACATATTATTATGCTTTAAAATTATTTCAGATTTGGATAACATTACTCTGTCAGATATGGGAGGCACCAGAAGAAATATAACTGAGGCATCTGTAAGACGTTTACTCGAGGAGGTCGAAAGTATGTATAACCCAGAGGGTCGCAATATATAAAATATTATGATGTAAGCAAAGTACAGATCTCTTTATATTTTAAAATATTTTTTTTTCTCCAAAGGTGATCCCGAAAATGTGCCGTTTTCAACACATGAGATATGTCGTTTAATAGCGTTGTTCGTAACTGCAAAAGACCTAACAAAACGCTTTACCGTTGTGTTAGACAGTCGCCGAGATTGTCATCTTACTGATGAGTCACATTGTGTGTACAGGTACAGAAAGTTTAGCGAAGGCTACTATGAAGTATCGGGCATTAATAACAGACCAGGTGCCAAACTCACAAACGGGCCAAGACCACCCTATAACAAATGCTGCACAATTACATAAAGCGATTATTGTCCAATGACCAAAGTCACCTAATCTATACATAAATGTATAAATATGATTGTCACAAGTGGCTGTTTTATTTTATTTTCAACACATTACTATATAATATATAGACATGTAAACTACAATAAAAAAGTAGTCTTAATGTCACTTTACCAAATAATTTTTACTACGCACCTCGTGTACTTGATATAATAATACCGTTTAATTTCATAATAAACAAGTTTTACTCTATTCAAATGCATTGTTTTCTTTGTTTTTTAAATAAACATGAAGATGATACCAAAATCAAATTTAGCTTTCACAGCAATAAAGTACTATTAAATGTTGCCAGCAGTAATTGAAAAATACTCAATACGGGTCATATTAGGGATTCACGTGCTTACATAAGAATTAAAATGATAAAAGCTACTTTCAAGAAAACCGTTTCGAGCCATTTAATATAATATGGATTTTGCTAGACATTTATTTTAGGTAAGACATAAAATATAACTTTATAAAAAAAACCTAACCTCACTGATATTATATACAAAAAATGTGTTTAAGATTGTGTTATTACAATTTTTTGGTGGTTTTCAATCTAAGTACCACCCACTTCGTGACACCCTAGTTTATGTGTAAGACCTTTTTTTATTCTTGGAATAAACCCACTTGAGTAAAAGATGCCAATTTGTCTATTCTGGAAACGTCGGTCTTCGGAATATATAATTACTTTAAAAAAACGGACAAAAAATTACAAAATCTATAGTCTTAAGAGTACTGGCCGTAGCTGTTCTAAGTAGAGTTGTGCGTGTCTGGTAAATTTACCGCTCAAAAATCGAATGATCATTGCATAATATAGCATCATACTATAATAGCTGTTACATACAAAACAGATAAAGTAATAAAATACTTGAGGTTTGGTATACTATACTTAACTGTAGTATAAATAAAATACGTAAAACGTATAATATCAGTATAGGTACTCCCTTTGTACATTACTTTTTTATTATTTTAATTTTACAACTACTATGACTGTATTTTTTTATATGTATTCTATATTTGTTTGAATTTGTTCATGTTTCATAGTACTTGGGATGTAAAAAATAAACTGGTATTATATATCTTATAGCTGTATTGTAAAATATACAAACGTAGGTACCAAAAGATATTTTCTAACATTATATTGTTATACAAGTTTTTAGTTAAAACTAAGATATTTCCATTTTCAAACTACAGTGGATTCCGTTTTGTATAGATACTGCATAAAGATAAGCTGGGCAGCGTGATCTGTGTGCATCCGGTTGACAAAATGTATTTAAATGCAAGATTTGGTTTTAAGGAAAATTCTCCACGGACTCAGTTAGAGTACACCCGATATGTGTATCCGACGTGTATAGGGTGCATCCTGTAAAATTAATAAGTTCATCAATATGGTAGTGAGCGCAGATAATATAACGCCTGTTGAAGGCAACAGTTGAAATGGCACTTTCTCGTTGCGTACAATCAAGATAAAAATATTAGTTTCCGAAAACTAAAATACGTGTTCAAATAATAGTAGTGAATTCGAATGACGTGTACTCAACCAAAATTGTGTTTACGTTGCACAACATTTGGCGTGTAAAACACAATCATTCCACTGCTAGTCGTTTAACCGTTTCATACATTTTGCATAGTTCGTCATATTTCGATTTTACTTGATAATAATCAAAATCCAATACAAGTACAACGAAAACACCGCAAGACGTTCACATCCAAAAAGTAAAAATTTAGTTTAACAAAATTATCCAATTGGTTTCAATTCAAACTAATAAAACCTATTTTATTTAAAATAAAAAAAAAAATTGGTTCCAACAAGTTTCCTTTAAACCTAATTTTTCTTAGAAAAAATATTAATTATAACAGTTTTTTTTTAATTAAAGGGTAAGTTAATTTGTGATCAAGTTAGTCTCAAAAATTATGATTAAAAGTCATGATGTGTGTTCTACGTATAGTGTTTTTGGATTATTTTACATACAAGGCTATAAATACATACAAGGCTATAAATAAATAATCCATTGGCAACTGTAACTGTGATATGAACTTATTATATTTTCTTTAGGAAAAAATGAAACATTTTTGTGTTTTGATGACATTAGTCCTTGGATATGTTTTGGCATTAGACGAAGGTAAGTATCATGGATTTCTGAAAACCTAGAGGTTTACATTAGTGATAGCAATCGAAAAATGCAGATGTTTAAATAAATACTATTTAAGCCACTAAGAAATATTAAATATTCGTATCGTATAAAGATGTGTACCTAAGGAAAGTAATAAAAAAAAACGCTTTATATTTACTCTAAGTTGTTTTCGGATTTTAAATTACGGATTTTATGATTTTAACAAATCCAAATTCAGAAAGAAAATTTTCTTTTTGATGTTGTGTTTTATTTTTACATCTTTATTGCAAAAATTAATATGGGTAAACAGATTTATGTTTTATTATTATTTAATAATTTTTTTATAGTTTTAAATCCCAATTTCTGGACTCCCATCAGTAGTTGAAATTAACGTTTTTTATTTTATTTTTACTTCTTTTTAGATTCCTTTAAACAGCACGTAAACCGTACAAGTCAGTATATCCAATAATTATTTATCTGTAAAATATAATTACAATATGTCAATTAAGTCTTACCAATTTTTACATCTTTTATTTGCTTTTTAATCATAGACTATATGCTCCAAAAATTAAACGAAGGTAAAATATTTAATAAATTAAAAAACAATATATTTTTTACGTTTTCTCTGACAATTGAATGTTGATTTTATAAAAAAAATAATGAAATGAAAATTCTACTGTTTAAAATATTTCAAAGGGTGTAACTACATATAAAATCTGTAGGAGTTAATTTTTTTGCTCAATTCACATTTGTTCGTAGTTTTTAGACTCAAAATGTAATTTAAGGTACACTTTGCAATCGCGTCGATACAATCATTCAAAAATTTTTTTATAACGTACCTAATAAAAGTGCTGTAACCTTACTATATAAATATACACAATTTAAAAACATGTGTCTTACTAGGACAATTGGACGCTCTAGTCACATTTTATGTAATGGATTCTATGGATATTAGTAAGCATATTAATTCTTATAATAGTAAATGCGCTACCAATGACTAAAATAATCATTTTTTTTAATCCTTTTTTTTTGTTTCCCAACCGCACTTCCCCCCCATCATAACTATTAGACTCTTATAACTTTAAAAATATTTAATCAAAATTGTTTGTACATCATTATCAATTTAACAAGTTTATGGGATGTATGCGTTATCATTTAAGTTTCAAAAGTTACTATCATAAAAACTATGTTGGGAGGAGGGTAAAAACAAAAAAAATATATAGTAAAAAGTTAAGATCACATTGTAAATCACATTATATTTCTGATTAAACTCAGTAAGATATTGAGTGGTATGTTGATCACCTTGTATATAATTTTACTTTGTAAGATTACTCATGCCAGCCCACGTGTCATATTTTCCATTATATTGATTTGTGTAAAAATTATTTTTGCAAACATAAACCCGAAAATTCATATTTGTAAATTTGGCAGACACGTCGTTTAATAGCGTTGCTCACTATTCATATTTACTTTATGACTTATTATGAATTAATAGCCAATCTCGTTTACCGATAAATTTTTATGAATTTCAGAGACGCTGGCTACGTTTTTGGCCGCACCAAGTATTAAGACTCAGACATTATCAATTATAATTTTTTTAAAAATTTATTTGTAACAAATAAGACCGATTTATACATTTAATAATTATATACGTTAATATTTCAGCGCCCGTTTTCAAAGATGGATATGGGTATTATCTAGATGGTAAATATTTAATGTATAGTCATAAAGTCCTTATACGATTTGCATGTGATCCGTTTTTAAGGAATTTCGTCTAAAATCCGTTTCCTACATAAACTAGAAAAGTTGTCATAGAAGTTGCATAGCATTAGAGAATTTATATAAAAGTTAACTAGTAATAACCATTTACTTGGTGGGGATTTTTAAAGAGCAAACCTTCAGTGAGTTTGTTTAACGTTTGTTAAAATAATTGTAATGGTACAAATTTCAAATACTTTAACACGAGTATTACAGTGAGAATTAATATTTTTGCTAATACATTTGTATCTGTGTGAGAATATATTATGAGGTACAGATATTTATCAAATATTATTAAATTAAGTTTTTGGTATTAAATATCTGTATTCTTCAATGTTACTGAATATAAAAACTTTTAAAATTTTTGTTGTTTTAAATTTCAGATCTGAGAGCTTATGAGGAACATTTACAGCGCAGTATGAGTAACTATGGTAAAAATGTGATTCGAATAAATTATAAAACCAACAAACGTTAGATTGAAAAAACCAGCAAGGTCCTCTGCAATTGTTTAGAATCATATACTCTGAGAATACTCTGTCACCCATGACCCTCCCACTCAATTCGAACACTGATTTATAATTTTTAATTTATTATATTGTGTTATTTATTTTAGTGAAGCAACCTGGTGCTCTGAAAATAAGTAATATATACAAATTAACTAAGTTATAAAATCACTTATATTTTGCCCGAATTCGAATACGAAGGGGAGAACTATTTTCTATTTTCGTCTACAGCAATGATTCTGTGTACGATTCATCATTTATATGGTGAATATATATTTTAAGCAAAGTTTCGGTCCACGGTTATCATCTTCGCATCGAAACTCGAACAGCCAAAAAATAAAATTAAACATTTTCTATTGTCTCATCATTATTTACATGTTATTAAGTTTTATAATTTCAGACATGGAGCAGGTTACTTTGCTTGATATGGGAAAGGACAGAAGAAATATAATTAAGGGATCTCTATTACGTTTACTCAAGGCAGTCGAAGGTATGGTTAACCCAGAGGGTCGCAATAAGTAAAGTATTATAATTCAAACAAAAAAGCGAGCTGCAGTGTGATCGGAATTGATCTGAAAATATATATTTTTATTCAAAGTGTTCACACTGTCGCCTCGACTTTTTGCTTAATTAGTCGTTGAGATTAAATGTAATCATATTATAGTTTTACAGCTCTTTCTATTCTTAAAAATTATGTTTTCAAAGGTACTATTCAAACCGCGGCTTTTAATGTACATCAGAGATGTCGCTTAGTAGCGTTGTTGGTAAATGTAGAACAACCAGACAAACACATATGTTATAGCAGAGCCGCCGTAACCATGGCTAACGAAAATAATTGTCGTTTGAAATATGATAAATCTGACGGACGGGTCATCGTGTACAGAATGTGGAATGATGGATACTACTATCAAGTATTAGGCTCAAGAAAAAAAGGACCCAAACTCACGCCGAAACTGGAACAACAGAGTCGTCCTTGCACAATTTTATAAAGAGATCTTGCAGAAAGCAGATATATACACTTCTTAAAACTTCTTTAATATGCATTATACAATTGACATAATATACTATTTTGGAATCATTTAAAATAAGTTTTATTTATTTTTGTTTCTTTTTTGAGTATCAGAGTACAGTTAAAGAGACACCACTATTTATTGCGGTGGTAGTGAGTACCGGAAGTACAGGAAGTTTCGCGATGGTTACTACGGAGTTTTGGACCCTGATTATAGTCCAACTGCCAAACTCACCTAACCTACATAATTGCATAAACCTTTGAAATAAATCAAAATTATTGCGTACAATCAACGTAGAGTCAATAAACATTTTTTCCAAAAAAAAAAAAATGTATGCTAAGAATATTTAAGGACAATGCTAATTCGAATGACGTATTTAAAAAATTAAATACTTACGTTTGCATACTTTATTTAATAATAAAATGTTTCTACTGCGAGCCGTTCTAACATTGTTTTCCAACGTTCTAATCTTCCACCACAATATATATAATACATTTATTTACCAGATTCTCAAAACGTATATTTTATACTGTTAATAGATAGGTTTAGCTTCGATACGGAGCAACGATGCTTTTGGTCTTACAACGACATGGGCTTTTTTTGTGTCTGTAAACACTGTAACTTAATACTGGACCAATTCTTTCTAGTAGCAACTCTGTAAATACAAATTTTTATCAAGCTGGTACTTTGTGGTGGGTAAAAATTGAAAAAATACACTTCTTTATGGTTAAAATTTGAAAAAACTGGCTTTAACTGGCTATAATTTCGACAAAAAAGGTCGGATCAAGTTAAACGTATAAGGCATGTTTATTTGGTATGTCACTATACGTCAATTGAGTCAAATTTCAATTATCCCTATTTCTCCCCCTCTCCCCACGGGGACTGCAAGTATTTTGTTTTTTAGCAGTAATTTTAAGGACATCTTAGTTGAACATTTGACAAGAGTTGGAACTCATATGTATCCATAAGATATTAAACGAAGAAACAATTCGGGACTAGAGTTTCCTTTAATTGCCGGATAACTGGGGTCGGGTTTGTCACAGTTTAACTGGAAGTATTACAACTCAAAGTGATTAAATCGTTACATGTTAAAAAAAATCATGATAACATTTTTACAGACATCTATGTAAAGGGATCCTATTAAGTTTTGTGAACTTATGTACCAGTTTTTGGTTAGATTGTCCGAGTAAGCCAGTACAGTGGGGTCAATCACGGTAGGGATAGAGAGGTCATAGGCTTACAGAAATTGTTGTAAATAAATGCGATAAAATTACTTTTAAAGAAACGCTTTGATGGTAATTGTGAACAATGCACCGGACTTTAATACTTTCTTACTGTGCTGGTTTGGATTGTACTGGCGGTATGTACATACTATCCACTGATGCACAACAAAGCGTTTATTCGAAAGTGGTTTTATCATTTTCAATTGTAATAATTATTCCAGTAAACCTGTTACATCCCCATCCCTACTGTACTAGCTTTTTTTTTTAATTATTTGAAATGTATTTGTGACTTAATTATTAATAGGCAATATTATAATACAACTATATGTGTTCAAATAATATTGAAAGACACTATACATTCGAATGACGTCTTTTCAATAAAAAATATTAACGTATGCACACCATATGGTATTTAAATAACACAAATGTTTTACTTTGAGACGTTTAAAATATATTGTTTTTCAACGTTGTTGACCCAAATTATGTTGACCCCTATTATGTTTAACGACTTTTTCAAACGCTTTCGATGACCACAATTGTATTTTCGTTATAATTGTTAACTCTTCAAAGTAATTTGTCATACTATTTTGTACATAAGCATACATTATTATTCTATTAAGTTGTCCTAACGTAAACTTACCAAGTACACTTACAATACACTTACCAAGATGTCAGGAAGTCTTTTTTATAAGAGTTTTTCTGTCCTTGGCACAATAACACTTAGTGTCTATATACATATATTTAGCTCATAATATACCGACTGCATTCTAACTGCAGATGTAAAAATATGCTAGAAGAGTACTTTTGTACAGCGGGTATTCGTACACAATGAATTTTGGTTATTAAAGCTAATTAAGTAATACCTATTAGATATAATACATTTTATAGGTATGACTATAATATTGCAAAAAATAGCAAACCTAAGTCATCGATTTTTACTATCCGGCGACACTCTAGCGAGCGCGCACCACCGTGTATACTATACACAAAGCACCGCAATCCCATTAAACGCGTGTAAATTTTACCATGAATTTCGGAATGATTTTGTGGGCAAACGGCTGGACAGAAATGAACATATGAGATGTCAGTAGATTCGGAAAGTTGTGTGGATTGGATCGAGCAAATTAACATATTGATTGGTTGAATGCAAACGCGACTATTTATGTATTATAAAAATAATAATAATCCAACTTATTAAAAGGCTACGGCTCTTTTAGATACACTTCAAAGTCCAATCAAATTCTATTTTACTAAAAAACAAAAAATGAATTAAAATCAATTTCTAAACTTGTTATTTATACAATTTGCTATAAGATATTGCAAAATAACCCCTCCCTAAAAATCGTCTTACCGAAGGGGGAACAATTACAATGACCTCGAAAGAACATTGTATTACAAAAAAAAAAATACCAAAAACCATTCAAGTAAATTGTTTTTTTTTATTATTCTAGAAAATCGTCAACAAGTCGGGTTGGCCAAGCATTTCTTAAGACCTTGAATTTGTCGATTCGTATATTTCATTTTATGTAAACAGTGGAAATGGGAAAGCACATCGAACAACCCAAGTGTTTTTCTGTAGTAAACAAATTGTGTTTTCGTGTTAATGCTTAGGTGAATATTCGATAAATAATACTTCCATAGAAAATCGTACATGTAAATCTTTGTTTACTTTTGAACTCTGTGTAACTTTCGAAACACATGCGCCAATGTGCGAAATTATACAAAATCCTCACTCTCTAACAATTATTAAAATAATTTATACACCTATGCAATGGTTTTATCGTTAATGACTTATTGATTCGTATTGGCCCAAAACGGAACCCCTAATTTGTTGAAAATTGTCCGCCATTTTTTATGGTCTCTGCCGTTTTAAATATTTTCAAATTGAGCAGAACACGAAGCACCAATGGGTGTTTTTAAAATTGATAAAAAAAATATTATTGAACTCAAACCGAATGTGTTCGTCATGGTTTAAAGATAGAATGAGTACGCTTTAGGACGGGGGGAAGGGAGCGAAATATTATTTTTTCTGCTGGCACTACGCTTCTGTAAAAATACTGAGCTGTGAAAAAAAAAATAGAAAAGATAAATGTTTAGTAATAGTTTTATAATATTGTAAAATAACACCAACTTAAGTGTCTCCAATTATTATAAAAGCTACAAAAATGCTATTATTTTAAGAGAAAACTAGTGTCCTGTCCTTAATGAATCAATCAATTTTCTAGTGTATTTTGATTTATCTAAAATAGTAGAATAACATGTTTTTGCAATATACTCGAAGGTACACGTGTATTGGTTGTTTGCTTTACAACGATTTATCATTTTGTTTTCTTTATCGATGTGCAAAATGTAGTCATAAGAAACGAATTTAGCAAAATAACGACCGGAAAGGCATAAAACTTTTCCTAAGGGTCTAAAAATTTCTTTTAGTTCCTGGCGTGCAAATTGTAAAATGTATTATCTACATTTCCTTGTATTATGTAACGGTATATCATTGACACTGATGACACTGGTGAAATAATAACAAACTGTCACATTTTGTTTTGTAGCAATATATAAATAATGTAAAAGGAAAAACAAAATTGCCACATTTCTCATTACGGCTTGTAATATATTTAAAATGGTAAACTGGCACAACAAACAAATTTGGCAGTTTGGTTTGTTAAAACCTATTGCTAAATACCCGTAACCTCAAATTGTGGTGTCTGGCTGAGATTTAACTAAGTGGCTTGAAATTATAATAACAAGCACCGGGTAACAAAAAAATAATCGAGAAGTGTTAAAATTAAAGCTTTCAAAGTTAAACTTAACCATTTGGGAGCAGGTTTAATCTTTAAGTTGTATTTCCGCAGAACTTGAGTTGTGGCAGTCTTGCTCCAAGGGTGCGACATGATTCCTACTAATTATATGCAATAGTTATAGGTTAATTTTAAGTGCATTGCCTATACAGTGATTTTATCAATACCTATTTATATTTTTAATATATAAAATGTACTATCGGCGGTAATATCACATTAACATTTTTATGCATTTTTTTCCCAAAGTGATTTTATCAACCAGGAATGTTTTTGTGATTAGTTTGCACTGTGAATGAGCTTTAGTGACTGGGATAATGCTATTGTTTTAGATTCTTCCGCTTTTTTTTCTTCTTATCCTAATTAATTTTTATCACAATTGTTGCAATTCAAGTACATTTTTTAAACACTATTGATATTTTAAAAGTAACAATATCTGGTTTGTTTGATTATCAAACCGCAAAAAACAAAATTTAGGACAAAATGATAATAATTATAGTTTTTTTTTATATTTTCAAAATTTTAAATTAAATTTCTCCCACTCGCAGAAAATAATTACAGTGATAAATATCCAGTTATTGTCTGATAAATATGAATATAATTTTTAGACAGGTTCAAAAAATTTGTTTTTTTTTGTCTACACAAGAAAAGTGGGTACATCTCGGTGAAAACAAGTATTTTTTAGCTAGTCGCAATTGTACACTACAAGATGGACTATTTTTTTTTTAATTAAGCATTACTTAGTACATTTTTAAGACACATGGTTCTAACTACCGGCGATTAGAAAACATTCGAGATTATAGCTATAGTCAAGTTTTGACTAATTAAAAAAAAAGTTGGCTTTCCTTAGAACTTAGGGGGGGGGGAATTTCGTTTTTATGGTTGTAAGTTTGTAGATTGCAATGAGTAAGGGTCAACAGCTGGTATCTGAAATATATTTGCATTGTGATGTAGGTTTTTTTGTGTCTGTATAATATGCATTGTAACTTTTTCAATACTGGA